GGCCCGGCCGGCCGAGCCGGGCGGTAGCTGCCTGGGAGGGAGGGGGTGGGAGAGCGCTGGACCGAAGGCCGGAGACGGCGAGTTTCGGGTCCCCGCGGTCCTGCCTGGACTTCGGCCGGCCTGTCCCCCTGGGCCGCTGTGGCTTCGTAATTCTAGCAGACCCACCCTGGATGCGGCGCGCCACAGTGTATGAACCGCTTTCACAGGACTCTTACCGTTTGGTCCTCACAGGGCAGCTCGTGGAAGGGGTCCAGGGAGTGGACTGTAGTTCCATTTTGCAGATAGAGAAAACTAAGGCTCAGAGTGGAAAGGAGATTTGCCTAGGGACGCGCAGCGAGGTGGTGGCAGTGACGCTCAGGTCTTACTCCAATGCAGTGTGCCCTTTCCCCCGGGTCCCTCTGCCCCACCTGCCAAAGGAAGGGGCTGAGGTAGGATATTAGGCGAATGAAAGGCAGTTCGTTCCTTCGTCCTTTCTTTTTCGTTTTTTAGATCAGCCTCCTGTGCTATACAGGTCACAGCTGACTAAGAAGCGCTCAGAAGCCAAGTCATGGATCCACCTGCACGGAAAGAAAAATCCAAAGTTAAAGAGCCTGTCAGCAGAGTTGAGAAGGCCAAACAGAAATCAGCCCAGCAGGAGCTGAAGCAAAGACAAAGAGCAGAGGTGAGATTAGGGAGGTGTCTACCTGTACTCTGCTGGAGATGATGCTGGAATAGAGAAATAGGAGAGGAGAGCTGTGATGGGGAGCCCCACCTGCTTCCAGGCAAAACAGGTGTTCTCCCAGGTTTCCAGAGGAGATCACTCAGGTCCTAATGAAGAGGTGGCAGCTCAGAGTCACATGCCAAGTGTCAGAACCCTGACCAACCAGTACCAGGTCTCCAGATGACTCCTGGTGCAGAGCTTTTGTGGTAGGGACCTAAGGGAAGGAAGAAAACAGAAAGTAGTGGTCTTGTAAGGGAGTGAGAGAGAGAGCAGGTGTCAGACATCCCCTAGTACAGATGTTCTGAATTTGGTCTGGAGAGTAGCTGCTCATAACCAGGAAGTAGAGGCCCAAGCTCTACACCCAGCACTGTGTTCCTTTGTTCAGTCTGCACCTAAAATCAACTTGGCTGTTTATGTATTTGATTTGAGTATTTAATATCAGAAAAAAAGTCTGCTGCAGTCTTTTCCCTCTTTTGTTTTGTTTCTCTTTTTTCCCCAGAGATTTAAAAATATAGAAAAACAGAACATTATAACTAACACCTGGGTACTCAGCACCCCAGATTGGTAGTGGCTAACATTTTATCATATTTGCCTGGAGTCTTAAATAAGATCAATAAAAATTACATATAAATATGAAGTCCCCTTTTTCCATTTTCTGTCTTATACCCTTTTTCCTCTCCCTATTTGCAGCCCTGTTTTTTTATACTTTTACACTCAAATATATTAATAGCTATTCTTGAACAATACAGCGTTCTTTTGTTTTAAAAATTTTACATTGGGGGAGGGTGTATAGCTCAAGTGGTAGAGAATGTGCTTAGCATGCATGAAGTCCTGGGTTCAATCTCCAGTACTCCCTCTAAAATTAAATAAATAAATAAACCTAACTACCACCATCCCCCCCAAAAAAATTTTTTAAAAACTTACATTGAAATAATTCTATATGTTTTATTTTGCATTTTGCTTCCATTATGTTTTTTTGAACTATTCCTGTCAGTGTAGGAATCTGGCTAACTCCTCAGCACTGCTTATAGTAGTCTGTTTTATGAATCCACTTTAGTACAGTTACCCAGACCTTCATTGATGGATATTTAAATAATTTATAGGGCATTTAAATAAAAATTTTTGCTATTACAAACAATACCGAAGTAAAAACCTTTTAGATGTCTCCTAGACATGTGTGTGCTAGAATTCCTGTAGGGCATATACATAAATTCTAGGAGTAGAATTATTGGGTACATTTTCAAATTTACTAGATGTTGCCAAATTATTTTCAAAGAAATTGTACAAGTTTGCACTTCTTCTCATTCCTCACTTCTTTTCCGACACTTGATAGTGTCAGACTTTAAATTTTTGTTAATCTGATCCACTCACTAAACAAACATTCATGAGATACATGACTGGACCAGGCAGGGAAGAGTCCCTGCCTTCATGGAGCTTGCAGTCAATCGGGGAGGCCGACAGAAACCTAAGAAGTAAATTTAATAGTGTGTTTGAAGTTAACCCATAAACTGAAAACTGCCTTTGGATTCAGGCAGACCATGTGAGAGCTGTGGACCTCGGTTCTAACAGCTTGTCCCCCTCTTTCCTTCACCTCCCCGCCCTCACCTGGATCCAGGCCCCTAGATGATTTGGCTGCATCGCGCTTTGGTGAAAGTTGGAGGGCCGCTGTAAGAAACAGCCCTAGGAAACTCCTTTGTGCACACTGCAGCAGTAGATGTTGTTGAGGACATTGTTCACGTGACACCCTGCCATGAGGTTCCACAGGTTAGACTTCTTTGTCTGACTTCAAATCCCAGCTCCTCCGTAAATTCCGGTTCTTCCCAGGTCCCCTTGTACCAGCTACTGAACCTCTCTGAACCTCATTGCCTCCTTGATAAAACGAGGATGGTAACATCAGCCTCACAAGATCGTGGTAAAGAACAGAAGTGTTGTATGTAAAGCACTTGGCACAGGGCCGGGCCTGGGGAAAGCGCCTGGATATGGCAGTGACTGTTACGGGGAGTCCCTGTGCCTTACTGTGTGGCCTCTAGGTGAATTATGCTGACTTGCTGAGATGTCGTATTGGACCTACACTCCCGCAGCTGCTGGCACTTGTTGAGCTCCTCAGATGTGCCAGGCACGGGGCCAGCCTGCACAGGCATGACCACATGTAATCCTCACATCAGGATTATTGTGTTATTGTTGCTCCCACTTTGACCTTTGAAGGGAGACAGAACGTACCTGATCTTGTGAGGTAGAAGGTGTTATCATCATTTACAGTGAAGTGACATGACCAGAATCCCTAGGTAGTGACGGATTGAAGGGCAGGCTGCGGTCTGAACAGGTCTCCCGACTTTCCTCCCCTGCTTCCTGCTTTGCCTCGCAGCTGTCTTGATGTTTTATCTGTGTTGCCTGGAATGCAATCTCCTAAGATAGGAATGTGACAAGAGCCCTTGTGGGGAGGAAGAGACACAGTTTCCATTCAGTTCTGCAAAGATGCCACATTCCAGAAAGTGAGATGTGAAAGTGAGGGGTGAATGGGAGCAGAGTCCCATTTGGCAGTTGAAGTAGCATTTGGCACTGTTGGTGACCCTTTCCTTCTTGAAAGTCTTTCATTCTGTGGCTTGGACCCCTGACCCATTTTGAGTCTCTCCTTTCTCTGCCATATATATGTATATACTTAATATTATATATAATATATATAAAATGTGTGTGCACTTAAAGAAGATGAATAAAAGAATCACCCTTGTACCTACCACCCAACTACAGAAATAGAACATGACCAGTAACTTAGAAGCTCCTTGGGCCTCTCACACTGGTCACGTCCCCAGCCTTCCCACTAGCAGTGCCCTCGTTCCTTAATTTTATGCTAATCATGCCCTTGCTGTTCTATATTAATTTACTGTTTCTGTGTGTACCCCTAAATAATATTTTATAGCATAACAATACATTGTCTAGTCCTGCATGTTTCTGAACTTTATATATGTTACCATATTCCATGACTGATTCTCTTCACTCAGAATCTTTTTTTTTAAACCATTCAAATTTATTAATTTATTTGTTTTTATTATGGTAAAATATACATAAAACTTGACCATTTTAACTTTCAGTGTTACACTTTTTGAGAATCATTTGGGTTTTGAAACTATTTTCATCAGTGTGGAATTCCATTTTCCTCAAAGATTATATAGATCTTACCACAATTGTTTAAACTGGGGGGAAAAGATTATAGGATTATTCAAGCTTTCTATGTAGTCAATTTTGATCTTAGTTTTTCCAACTTACTGACAGAAAGCTCGTAAGTTTTGTTTTAATCTCCACTGTATCAGCAATTACGTCTTCTTTTTAATTCTTGTACTGTTTGTGCCCGACCAGTCTTGTGGCAGGTTTACAGGGTTTTCTTTAGTATTTTCAAAAACCATCTTGCAGTTTTGGGGATACTCTCTATTGTACATTTGGTTGCTTTTCCTTTAATTTCTGCTCTTATTTTGTATTTTCTGTTTGTCTCATTTCTCAGTTCTTTTTCCCC